GATACCTTGGAATCTGAGATGGACAAAGCCGATGCTGCTGCCTCAATGCCTTTGCCACCTGAAGGAGAGAATGAATTTCTTCCGAGATGCTCCAGGGGCAAGACACAAGCTACTGTGCATTACATATCGCCCGTAACAGAGGCAGAATTGGAAGAACCTGACCAATGGCTAAAATACGCCAGGAGGAGCTACAAACAAAAATGCACAGGCCCATGTCATCGGACTTAGAAGGGAAGGGATGTAGTGATTGTAATGAGGTCAGCCAGGTGGACCTCATAGAATATGAGTTCCCTGACTGGACCAGGTTAACAGCCCCCATCAGGGAGCTCTGGCTGACAGATAAGAACAGGAGTATCAGATATCCTGTTCACTCTGAGAGCTGGCTCTGATGGAACTGGATAGGTGTCAAGGCCTTTCCACGTGCAAATAAAAGGTGACTTGGTGACAGGACACTGGCCTCCATGGTGTTATTTCACCTCATTCTTCAAAGTAAAGACAGATGTAAAGCACTTATTTAACACTCTAGTGTCCTCTGGCTCCATGCACAGACTGACCCCTTGGTCCTTAACAGACCCCATTCTTTCCCTGGTTGTACTCTTCCCCTTGATATACTTATAGAATATCTTGGAATTCTCTTTAATATTATCCACCAGTGTTTTCTCATGCCCCCTCTTTGTTCTCATAATTGCTTTCTTAAGTTCCCTTCTCTACTTCCTATACATCTCTAGGGCCTCCACTGCTTTGCTCCTTCGTACTTCTTTTTTCCTTGTTAACAGTCCTGGATATTCCTAGACATATAGGGTTCTCTCGCACATCTCTTTCAAATCTTTCACCTCTCCCTTCAACCTATTTCCAACCTGGGAACAAAACTCCGATTGTCGACCCTATTCATGTCTCTTGTAATTTCATATACCTCAGCCTCCAACGCTCTAGACAAAATAATTAAAGATTTTCTTACCTCTCCTTATAGCTATTACACTCCACTCCAGGCAACATCCTGGTAAACCTAAATAAAAACCAAAAGAACTGCGGATGCTGTAAATCAGGAACAAAAACAAAGTTGCTGGAAAAGCTCAGCAGGTCTGGCAGCATCTGTGGAGGAGAAAACAGACTTAACGTTTCGGGTCCGGTGACCCTTCCTCAGAACTGATGGTGGCTGGGAAAACGTCAGTTTATATGCAGAAAATAGGGAGGTGGGTGGGGTAGGGACTAAACGATAGGATAGAGCCCGAAGAGAGAGAAAGACAGTTGGACAGACAAAGGAGTTGCTAACGATCAGGCTGGGAGGGTGAATAGTTGGTGAATAATGGGGACTGTTAGTGACTAACAACAGGGGGTGTGTAGTGGCAGGCTATGTGGTGGGGGGCTGGGACATGGGCGAGTTTAGGCCCTAAAATTATTGAACTCAATATTGAGTCCGGAGGGCTGTAGGGTCCCCAAGCGGAAAATGAGGTGTTGTTCCTCCAGCTTGCGTTGGGCTTCACTGGAACACTGTAGCAAGCCGGAAACAGAGATGTTGGCCAGGGAGCAGGGTGGTCTGTTAAAGTGGCAGGCAACAGGTAGTTCAGGGCCTTTTTTGCGAGCAGAACATAGATGTTCTGCGAAGCGGTCGCCAAGTCTACAGTTCGTTTCCCCAATGTAGAGGAGACCACATTGTGAGCAGCGAATGCAGTAGACTAGATTCTCGGAAGTGCAGGTGAAGTGTTGCTTCACCTGGAAGGTATGTTTGGGCCCTTGGATACTGGGGAGGGAGGAGGTAAATGCGCAGGTGTTGCACCTTCGCTGGTTACAGGGGAAGGTGCCACAGGGCTGTGGGGAGGTGTTGGGGGTGAAGGAAGTATGGACCAGGGTGTCCCAGAGGGAACGGTCTCTGCGGAAGGTGGACAAGGGAGGGGAGGGGAATATGTGTCTGGTGGTGGTGGTGGAGGTGGTTGAAATGGCATCTGATGATCTTCTGCATGTGGATGCTGGTGGGATGGTAGGTGAGGATAAGGGGAACCCTATCGCTGTTGCGGGAGGGAAGAAAAGGGGTGAGGGCAGAAGTGCGGGAGATGGGTTGGACCCGATTGAGGGCCCTGTCGACAATGGAACTGGGGAATCCTTGGTTGAGGAAGAATGTGGACATTTCGGAGGCTCCCTTGTCGAAGTTGGCCTCATCTGAACATATGCGACGGAGATGGAGGAACTGAGAGAATGGGATGGAGTCTTTACAGGAAGTGGGGTGTGAGGATGTATAGTCCAGGTAGCTGTGGGAGTCGGTGGGTTTGTAATGGATATTAGTGGCCAGTCTATCCCCAGAAATGGAAACAGAAATGTCGAGGAAAGGAAGGGAGGAGTCAGAGATAGACCAGGTGAAAGTGAGGGCAGGGTGGAAATTGGAGGCGAAATTGATGAAGTTTTCCAATTCTCGACGAGAGAGGGAAGCAGCACCGATGATATCATCGATGTATCGGAGAAAGAGTTGTGGGTGGGGGCCGGAATAGGACTGGAACAAGGAATGTTCCACGTACCCCACGAAGTGACAGGCATAACTAGGGCCCATGCGGGTACCCATGGGAACCCCTCTTACCTGAAGAAAATGAGAGGAGTTGAAAGAGAAGTTGTTGAGGGGATTGTTGAGGGCCTAAACTCTCCCATGTCCCAGCCCCCCACCCCACACACCAGGCCTTGTTATCACATAGCCTGCCACTACACACCCCCTGTTAGTCACTAACAGTCCCCATTATTCACCAACTATTCACTCTCCCAGCCTGATCGTTAGCAACTCCTTTGTCTGTCTTTCTCTCTCTTCGGGCTCTATCCTATCGTTTACTCCTTACCCCACCCACCTCCCTATTTTCTGCATATAAACTGACGTTTTCCCAGCCACCATCAGTTCTGAGGAAGGGTCACCGGACCCGAAACGTTAAGTCTGTTTTCTCCTCCACAGATGCTGCCAGACCTGCTGAGCTTTTCCAGCAACTTTGTTTTTGATCCTGGTAAACCTCTTCTGCACACTCTCCAAACTCCACATTCTTCCTATTAGCGTAATGAGAAGAACTGCACACATTATTCGAAATGTGGCCTAACTAAAGCTTTATACAAGCTGTGACACAACTTGCTAACTTTTATATTCAATGTCTTGAAGATGAAGGTAGGCATGCCACATGCCTTCTTTATCACCTTATCCACTTGTGTTGCCAATTTCAGGGAGCTATGAACTTGTACTCCAAGATCCCTCTGTATATCAATGCTCCTCAGGGTCCAGACGTTTACTTGTATACTTTCCTCTTGCATTTGACCTCCCAAAATTCATCATCTCATGCTTGTCCGGATTCAACTCCATCTGCCATTTCTCTGTCCATCTTTCCAGCTGATATTTATCCTGCTGTGTCCTTTGCAATCCTTCCTCACTATGTACAACTCCACCAATTTCTGTGTCGTCTGTAAACTTACTGATCAGATCATTGACATTTTCATCCAAATCATTGATATATATAGCACAAACAGAGGTCCCAACACTGATCCTTGCGGAACACCTGTGGTCAGAGATCTCCAGTCAGAAGACCTCCTCTCAACCTATTCATTGCCTTCTATGATTAAGAGCCAATTTTGTATCCAATTTACCAATTCATCTTGGATCCCATGTGATTTAATCTTCTGGATTAGTTTACCATGAGGGAAGCATTACCGTCTCTGGAACAGACAAATTGCAACTATGAGAATGAATGTGGGGAGCTACAGACTGCAGGGACGTCAGTGATCTGCAAACGTCACGTGTCTAGAAGGTGATTGTATGGATTTAAGCGTTGCCTCCAAATGTTTCCTATCTGATTGTTTTTCTATATCTTGCAACAATTACACTGAATTTAAAAAAAAAACACTTCAAGAAAGGGAGGCTTTAGGACAAAGTTTAGCAGAATGTGAAACCAGTAGAAAATGCCAGGAATCTGTTTTCTAATACAAACACAAGCCTAACGTACAGTGATACCAGTGGGTAGTCAGTGGGTTAAACCAGCACAGTGGAACTTGTTATCCTGCACTCACATTCCACACCTAGCTCCAAGCCAGCAGGTTGGGCTTCTTACCCATTTAATGTTTGAGAATAGGTTGTGATCATTTTGGCCCCAACACCACTAATCATTCACTTTACCGGGTAAAACTGCATGGCAGATGAGCACCAGCTATCCTGAGGGAAATTTTGGAGGGAACCAGCTACTGGATGGTTCAATTAGTCTTTCGCCCCTATACCGAGGTCAGATGACCAATTTGCACGTCAGAACCACGACAGCCTTTCACCAGAGTTTCCTGTGGCTTCACCCTGCCCAGGCAGAATACACCATCTTTCGGGTCTTAACACGTGCACTCGTGCTCCACCTCCCCAATGGTGTGCCCGCTGCGCGGGCAGCAGGATCCCACCTCAGTCAGCCACCACCGACCCTCACCTTCATTGTGCCACAGGGTTTCGTGAAAGCCCTATGCCTTGCACACGTGTTAGATTCCTAGGCTAGGAAGCACTGCCAGGGCTGAGTAATAGGCAAGACTGGGATTGCAAGCAAGACCTGAGACAAAACAAGAAACATGACAATACATCTGAGTAAATCTGGGGTTTCGGTCTGGAGGTATCGGGGAACTGGGGGCAGATTTGGAGGCCAGGTCAGGAGGAATGTGTATGAGTTAATACCTTGGGAAGTGATACAAAACAATATGTCCACCTTTCTGTGCACCCCTACCACAAAGTTGTTTTAAAAACAAGTTTCTCACTCCTGAACAGCTTGTTCATGCTGATTATTAGTTAGAAACGAGCTGAACTGGCCATTTAAAAAGAAATTAAAACAGTGGACTGTATTACAGGACCAGAAGAGGAGTGGGCAGGAAGGTTATGGTCAGGCCACCTTGACAACTTTTCCTCCCCAGCACAGCTGACACTTCCCTGTTTATTGCCTTGTTTCACATACGACTGATGAAATACTAAAAACAAGTCCTGCGTCTCTTCCATTTAAATTAGACCAGTTTCTTACCTGGATTTTCACAGCAATTACCACAGAGTTAAGATCCTTGTCAAGTTCTTTGAGTACAGTCAGCTTTTTTAATGTCAGGCTGCACAGTCTGAAAAAAAGGACAGGAATTACTTTCTGATTACGCAATTATAGTTATTGAGGTGTTTCAAAGCAGCCTGTTATAAACACATTTTTTAATTGACAATGATAAAGGAATCACTGTCACGTGTACATGGAAGATGCAAAGGGTGAGGAGGACATCAAACTACACCATGGTGAAGCTTTTCGCACAGTATCACACTGCACTGTAATCACCATCACACACACAGTATCACACCGCACAGTAATCACCCTCACTCACACAGTATCACACTGCACTGTAATCACCATCACACACACAGTACCACACCGCACTGTAATC